TTTCTGCCTGCAGTTGACCAGGAACAGGTCCCATATGTAGCGGAAAGCTGCCATGTGGTCAGTTTTCAGTCGGTAGGCTCTGGTCCTCTTGTCATCAAAGCGCAAGAAACGGCGAATATCTTCAACTTTTCGAATTGACATACAGTATGTTGCTGTGTAAAAATGACCTCCTGGGTGGTGAGACTGCTGACATCAGATGTGTAAGTGGGACAGTATTGACAGTCAAAGTTGCATCAGATGTGAGAGATGACATCAGATGTGTAAGTGGGACAGTCAGAGTTGCTAAGAATTAAAGGTTCATAGAAGATTCCATAGGAACTGCTTGGGGTCATTTTTGACCCCACTTGTGGAAGAGTGGGGTAGTGATACAAAAACTGCAATTTCTTAAAATTAATGAAAAAATAAATAAAAATGCAAATGGCCTCATGTCACAAACATGTTTTATGAGGAATACCTGGAATATAAATATATTACAACTTTTCGTTTTAAAGATTTTGAAGAATAACAACCCGTGGGGTCATTTTTGACCCCACGTGTGCATCTAAGGGTTAAGGTCAGTTAGTGTGTTTACTTGGATAGTAACCTCCACACCCTTAATGGCACTAAGGAAAGCACATATAAATTGTCAAGAACCCACTAGAATTACCTACATTTATGTACAGTACACATTTGTCTTAAAGTATGGTATCTTCATCTAAGTTACGATGATGAGGAAACCTAGTCTCTTTTAATTACAATAGTAACACACAAACCATTGCACCATTCTTGTCCATTTTGAATGCATCATGTAAAAATATTACAGTGCTGAAATACTATTTGCACCCTTGGCTAATGACATCTATCAAAGCTAAGTGGAGTCAGCAGTTTGCAAACCTGGAGACCAATCAATGAAACCAGATTGGAGGTGTAAGCTACTTTGACTCACTCAAACACTTGCTATTTACTATTCATAAGAAACATAGGAGCCCAGTGATAGGCTGGTGACCTGTCCAGGGTGGACCCCGCCTTTTACCCAAAGTCAGCTGACATTGACATCCCAGCCAAATCAGTGCACACCTTGACCAGCCATGGCACTTCTTGGGAAAAGCTTTGTGGATCAATGAAACTTATGTTGAATTGTTTGGATAGAACAGGCAACTTTGTGTCTCAACGTGTAGTATAGTGGAGGGAGCATCATGATTTGTGGCTGCTTTACTGCCTGTGGACCTGGACAGTTTGCCATTATTGAGGTAAAATTAATTGCCAAGTTTATCAAGGTGTTTTATGGGATAATGTTAGGGTGATTGTCTGCCACCTGAAACTCAGCAGAAGCTGGGTGATGCAGCAGGACAGTGACCTTAAACACTGAAGTAAATCTACTTCAGAATGACTTTAAGCAGAGTGACTTCGGAGGGGCCCATTCAAAGACCTTAGCACAACAGAAATGCTGCTCACACCAGATGACCTAACAATACGTCTAAACTGAAGCAGTTCTGAAGCTAGAGGAAATGCTGATTTCAGGTTGCTACCAAAGGAGGTTCGGTCGGTTATTAAATCCATGGTTATCAAAGGTCAGTTCTGTTTCACAAACACTGTGTCTGATGTCAGAGGAATCATGTGTGCTTGACAGAGTCACCACATCAATATAATCTATAAAGCTTGGCTTATTTGACAGACGTCTGCAAAATATTTTAAATGGCCAATATAGTCGACAAAAAAAAACCAGAACAAATGCTCACATTTTATTAGAGTGGAACTCTTCAATTTTGTTTAAATTTAATTTAATTTAATTTTCTGTTTAATGAAGTTAACTGACACCCCGCTGGTTTGATTGAATGATTGTAAACAGTACTAAATAGTGGCAGCAGCAGGCATGTTTCAGTGTTACCCCATCTTGACGCCTTGCTGCTGTCTCCTTCTCGAGCCTGTGACTTCCTTCCAAGAATTCCCTTTTGTCACAATCCCTGAACACATTTCAGACCAGAGTTGCACTCTCCTGCCACAGTCTCCTCTCTAGTCAAATTACTGCCGAGCAATCTGGAATGCTCTGCTGCCCATCCCACTCACTTGAAAGAACTAAAGAGAACTTTGACAAAGCAGCTCGCTCCCTGTGAATGTCGGTGTGTGTTTTTTGCCGTTTATGCCATTAAACTTCATCAGCTTTGCCTCACAAATTCTATTAATCACCCCAGTGAAAAATCAATAGAGTGTATTATGGCTCATATCACAGTAATTCATCTCCCATTTGCTTTCCCCCTTTCACTTTTTTTCATTAAACACACACACGTACACACAGTTCCTCAGACCCACAATTCCCCCTCACTCAGACTTTAACAATTTGTTGCATCTCATTTGTTCTATAAAGTGACTCCCTGTAGAGTCGCCGCAGTCGCCTTGGCTGCTGTCCTGCAGTGACGATATAGCGTAGCCTCTGTTTACGATATGTCTCATGCCAAAGTGAGACGTGGACCTCATGTGGTGCCTGAGATTACAAAACATGCAGCAACAGAACTGGATTTCAGCCGTGCTTTGTGCAGCCAGTCAGCAGGAGCTTAATTGAAGTGTGTGACCGATTCAACACAGTACGGTCAGTGTGTTTGCATATGAGATTTTGCAGCATATATGCGAATGTTCTGAAGAACAAACACACATGAGGATGAAACACATACAGATATTTAACAGGCGTGCATTACGTTCAACCATTTATTCAACCACTCCATTTATTTTTATTTGATGTATTTTTAAAGGTGTGCAAGCCTGTTATTTAGTGCGGTTAAAAAGTGACAGGAAATACCAAATTAATGAGATAAAGCAGAACAAGTGCATGTCCAACCAAGTTATCTGGATTCATTGTGATCAGAGTGGAATTTGTGGAGACAATTACATGTAAGGAAATACATTTTCTGAAATGTTACATCAGAGTTAGCTTTTTGAAATAGGCTTTCATTGTTCTCTCACCTTCCCTAGGCTGTC